AGACAGACAGACAGACAGACAGACAGACAGACAGACAGACAGACAGACAGACAGACAGAGACAGAGAGAGAATCAACACCATAAAGTAGACATGATCATGTAGGACTGTATTATGAGACAGATCCCAGTAATTTGATAAAACACACATCCTGAGGTAGAAATCAGTTAACTTCTCTGTACAGCGGGGGACAAAAACTCACCATTCGCCGTCATTACCACCTTAAAAAAAGTCAAGAATTGTAAACTATAAAAAGCGGTGCAATTCAAAAGTAATCAAGGCTTTGTATAGCAGTAATCAAATTGCAGTTTTAAGCCTTATAACTAAGATTTTCACATGGACAGTGGTGTCATGGGTTCACTGAAACATAAACACTACAAAAACCTTAAATGACATGTACAGATTGACTGTGAATGTCAGACCAAATCATGAACAAAACTGTGATCTTCACGGAATGCAAAGTGATTAAATTGGCACTATCGTGACTGTAAACAGACAAAATTAATAGATATCTTGTGATAAACTCATTTCTGCTTCAGATTTCATAGGCAAAATATTGCTTGAAGAAATCCTCAATCCTCAATAGATGAATGTTTCCACCAGGTATCACAGAAAAAAATAAACAAAAGTGAAAGTTTAAGAATTGGGAATGTGTGACTGGGGCTTGGGGAAAACAAAAATAAAAAGAGCAAACATTACTGAACACTAAAAGATAAGATAAGATAGATAAAAAAGATAGATAAAACAATACTTTACTGAACCTCTCAGAAATTGTTCATGGTTTAACAGGAATGGTCAAAAACATATGTAACACTGAGCAAGTAGAAGCCTCACTGCCACTGAGCAGCAGCATAATAAATGGGAATATAAGAAGCCAGTAATGAAGAAGTAGACACAAACATTTATTATTTGTATACCTGCCAATATGTAAAGAAGTTGCTTTTAGATTCATTTCTCCTTTCTATCTCCTTACCTCTGTGAGATGTTTCATCTTTCAAATTAGAAAGTGAAAAGTGAAAGCAGACATGCAAGAATTCGGTGACTGGTTGTAAAGACAATCGGTGAGCATTGACTGATAAACACTTTTCCAGGTAACCGTTTCCTTTTACCTCAATCTCCTCATCACTTAAATCCTCAATGCCCTCCGTAAAGAGGAGGTGTCGCAGCTTTGGGTGATGAAAGGTTGGATTGGACATTAGCATGGGACATTACAGATGTCAGGTCTCGTGGTAAAATCAGGCGCTTGTCAAAATAATGAAATCCGAGAATACAGCATTTTTCAGCCCATTTTGGAAACTTTGCTTTTTGCCTCAACACCTTATATGTCTATTCAAAAAAATTTAATATGAGGATTTTATGGAAAAAAGTTGATTAAAGGCACAAAAAATGTAAATTTGCAGTTTCCAAGGACTCTTAAGCGATGGAAGTCACCAAACTTTAGGGGCCGTTTTCTCTCTAATTCTATCTCTGAAACCAGGCGACCCCACCTTCTTTAATTGCAAATATCTCGACTTCTGTTTAAGATAAATGAATATTTTTTTCATCAAAAGCAAGGCAAATAAACAACCTTTAAGATGATACCAATAATTCTATATGGCCCAAAATTGACAAGCGCTTGATTCCACCGCATCATGACACAAATGTCATCATCCCCATCAGGCAACTCTCACACCACCCACTTTCATTCCGGATTTCTTCCTTATTCTAGTCACTACACTCTGTGCAGGTGGTTGGAGAGCACCATTGGTAGGTCCTACTTCTTAACTTTCCTTCTGTTGTTTCTGTCTGTCTTACCACTAAATGACCATTATCGTGTCGATGTACTTCTCTTTCCTCACACAAATAAACATAGGCATTGCATTCATTAAATTGCAGTGGCATCCAAGTCATTTTGATCATGTAAATGTTTTGACGTCTCTACAGCCTATGTTTCTTCATTTTGGTTCTCTTTTTTTTTTCTTTTGCCACTGTTGCCTATCTGCAGAAGGAGCAAATACTGCTGCTGTTACCCCTTCTATTCAGTTCTGAAATCCCACTTTTCTGTTTTTTCATTTTATTTTCTGACTTTGTCATTTAAAAAAAATATAAACATGTCCATTAAATCCTTGTTTCGTATCATCATTATCATTATTTTTCTTCCTCAGATCTCATCATCATCATCATACCCTTATACTTTCATTACCCATCATTAGCCCTCTGCCTGTAGAGTCCAAACAGATGCATCATTACCTGGGTGTCAGAAAAGAGAAAGACCGCATGATTTTCTGTCTCTGTGGCTTTCCTGAGGATTCGCTTGAGATCTTCTCTCCACTCGGTGGATGTGTAACTCTTGGAGATCTCCACCTGTGAAAGTGAGAGACAATAACAATATGAACATCCTGCGCGCGCGCACACACACACACACAAACACACACCAAACCAATGCTGGAGGAGAAGTGAGGTTGGAAAGGAGGGAGAGGAGGGTGGAGAGAAAGAGGTGTAGAGTAGAGTTGTAGTTTTCTGTATATTTGTTCAATAATAACCACATTTTGCTTGCAACAGGACAACACTGAGAAGAGGAAGAGAAAGAATACCAAATACAAATTCCTATCAACAACCTTTTGTATAAAACAGGATTTGATAGAAGACATACACTACAACTGTGGAACAAAGCTATCTGTAACTGACATGTGATATAAGTTTTGGGAGGGTGGGGAGAGAAAGAGAGAAAGAGAGAGAGAGAGAGAGAGAGAGAGAGAGAGAGAGAGAGAGAGAGAGAGAGAGAGAGAGAGAGAGAGAGAGATAGATAGATAGAGAGAGAGAGAGAGAGAGAGAGAGAGAGAGAGAGAGAGAGTGAGGGAGAGACAGAGACAGAAAGACAGACAGACAGACAGACAGAGATAAACAGAGACAGGCAGAGAGAGACAGAGAAGAGACAGAGACAGAGCTATACAGTTTTTGAATAGCACAGCTTCCCCCCCCCCCCCCCGAAAAAAAAGGGACAGCTAGATTGATTATCATGGAAAACAAAACCAAAAAACAAATACACCACTCTCTTGCTCTTTGTTCTTACTTGGAAGAGATCATAATCTGCCATATGAGTGGCCAGTCTCGTCACTGACTGCCGGCCAGACCCGCCCACTCCCACAAGAAGGGCGTGGCTACGTGGCTGTTTGATGATGCGAGCAATTCTGGACACGTGCTCAATGGCAAATCTGGTGATGGCAGAGTAAAGGACAGAGTTGAAAAATGTACCAGAATGGTAAGGGGGATAAGGTATCAGGGACAGACATGTCAGCATCCATAAGGTGACCTGATTAGAAATGAAAAGCCAAATAAAGAATCCATTCTGCGGAAACACAAAATATTACTTAATTCTCACCTCAAACATTTTGGAAGACAACATTGTTTGCAGAAAAGTCTGCTAAAACAACTGAATATAAATCAATAAATATGTATAATTCATGCAAATACAGTGGAACCTACTGTCATGGCAATCTGCCTGATAAAATCACCAGTACAACTAGTCACTTCCCCCTAATATAAAGACATTGTCCAAGATGTCCACTTAGAGGACAACCATTTTCTCCTCCGCAATGGATAACTATCTTAGATAATTTTGACTGCACTCCTGCAATTGCCTTGTTACCATCGACCTGCTAAGAAAGAACTTAGGTACATTTTTCCTTTTTATCCGCTCTTAAATAATCTATTTAATTTTAGTGCAAGTTGTAAGGCACTTGCAACACAATTAAAGTCATATAAATGCCAAAGACTAGAGACATTACTTGAGAGTAACACACAAAGAAAATAAGGAGGCGAGGCAAGGATGATAGATATTTGATAGGAAAGAAGGAGTAAATTCCACAAGATCAACTGCCAACTTCCTACATACCTTGAGATTATAGACACAACTTACCGGAACAGCACAAGATTCATGGGCTTCCTGCTCATGTTGTTGAATTCCTCCAAGTATCCCTCAGCAACATGCCTCAAGTTCTCCAGGTCTCGCACCTCAGTGTAGCTGCGCGAGTCGGACTTGGGATCAGCAAAGTCACAGTAGATCAGAGAGCGCAGGTCATCCTCTGTCACCTGAACAAAAAACAGGAAATGTGATGCGTGCTGACAACATGAGATAATGCTCAGATTTTAGGCGTATGGACACAGATATATATTCCACAGAAAAAAAAAATATATATCAAATTTGTAGGTTTGGTTTGTATAAATTATTATATGAAATGATTGAAGACATATTTAACTTGAAGAAATTGCATCACTTTAAAACCTGCAAATCTGATGCCTCTATTTTCGGCCAACATCTCCATTCATGAATTGCGAGAAGTAACTCATTTTGTCAGTATGCCTCACAAATAAAGTTTTAATGTTCTTTTTAATTGCAATGACATCTGATGTTTTACCTGATAGAGTTCATTTTTTGGTATGTTTTGTATGGGTATACTTAAGTGAGTGAGTTGTGCATTGTTGTACATGCATCATTGAATATGAATGGAATAAGTGCATCTCTGTGTTGATGCTGAATCTTTGTATGTTGATATTCAGGTATATCTCTCTGTAATTTCTCTCATGGACTGAGAGGAAGGGAATGACAATAGTAGCAGTAATCAAACTTGGCAGTATTTGTTACCATAATTATAATGTGGTCTAACATTGGACATAGTTCTTTAATATTACATATTTAACTTGAAGAAATCACATCACTTTGAAATCAGCAAATCTAATGCGTCTACAATAAATGTTTGCTCAACCTTCTTACAAGACATTGCCAGAACCTTCAAAAGTATCATTAAAAGGTAGAAACATGATCACAAGCTAATCATTACTTTCACCTCCCCAACTCCCTCTACAATCACTAGGAATAGTGAATCTTCATCCATTTAGAAAACAAAAGCCCAGCACTCATCAAAGGGTATGATAATTTTTGAACTACAAAATGATAAGTTGGAGCAGCCAAGAAATTTTTGGTAAGATTTATGGACAGTACAAGACAAGAAACACTATTGAAACAGCGGTGTCAACATCCAATACTCTGTGGACTGGTGTTGGTGGAGTGAGTGAAGGATTCAGTCATATAAAAGTAAAAAATCAAAACATGCTACCTTTCCTTAAAAAAATGCAAATTTTAAAAACCTGAAAGCTGTTGAGTTGTAATTGTCTATGACTTATCAGTAACATAACAGTCAGATTTTGAAAATAGAAAAAAAATAAATAAAAGAAGTAGTCAGAGCATATCAGACCAGAGCATCTGCCAACATCTCGCTGACGTGGCCAGAAGACTCATTTCTCACAATTTTTTTACACAATACTTCATGACATTTGGAATGTATTCACTGCAGCAAAAGTAACCATCAAAATAAAACATGAGTGGTGGACATAACAATTATTAAAAACATGAAGGACTAACGGTTCCGTCGTTGTCTGAGTCGAGGTGAGCAAAGATCTGGTCAAAGTCCTCTCTCATTTTGTCCTTGATGATCTCCCTGGTGGCCTTGTACAGCCAGTCGCGGTCAGCGTCATCCACTAGACGGTCATAGTACACACGGAACACCTGTTGGCGGGGAAAGTTGACTATGAGAATCACTTTTGCACTCTTTGAACACAGTGTAGTCTGAACATTTCACGGTATCCCTATTGTAGCTGTCGACAGAACTGCAAAAAAGGGCTCACTCCAAAAAAGTTCTCAGTAGCTCATTTCAGCTTTCAGTTTGACAGTAAAGTTAAATAATCATGCCTGAAATTATTTAAAAATGAACACTACTTGGATTTCATCCAGAAAATAAAGACAGTATGCGGTACGTTTTATAAAAAGGACATTTTTTGAGTTAAGATAGAAAGGTCAGGAGTTAGAGAAAGTGGAAATGGGGAGAAAATTTTCAACACATATTTAACATCTCAAGCATAGTTTCTAAAACATACAATGTAAATCAAGATACTGGACCCCAAGGCAAGAGCGAAGTGGTCATTTTGGGTATAAAGTAACTAAGACAGAGACATGCTTCAAGACAGACGTGAACACTCTAGATCTGGAGCTTAAAATCTACTTCGACAAGAATATCAGTTCCCTTTTAGTTTAATAATACACAATTAAATCAAATTGTTCATTATTTAAGAGGTTTTACATCCAAACTTCTCCACCTCTAACAACATGAAAGGGAAAGCTTGGAGCCCCCCAAAACAGCCAATGTTTAAATAAATGGCTGAATGAAAGACTCCAACAAACATCATTATGCACAATGACCTTTGCCGGAGTCTTGCAGCTAGACATTGAAATGTGATCACCCTCGACATGGTCTTCATTGCCCAGTGCATTACAAACTGACCTCCAATCACAGCCTCGCACAGCACTTACTTCATGAACCCAGAGCTTTTTCATGGACGTCGGCTCCTCAATGATTTCTGGGGTAGACAGAAGCACTCCCTGAATCACACGGGAGAAGTCTCTCAAATTGAACAGGTAGTGGGACTTGGCTGGTGTGGGCAGAAGGTTCTGGAGTGCCAGTTTGTAGACCTCCAGGGTACCGGTCACAATCTGCTCGGCACACGGCTTGAACTCGTTGCTGAACCCACTGGAAACAGGAACAAGATAAAACAGTATGACCACACAATGTGATGAACCCACTGGGAACAGAGACAAGAAAAAACAGTATGACCACTGGTTGCTGAACCCACAGGGAATAGAGACAAGAAAGAACAGTATGATCACTTATGGCTGAGAGTACAAAAACACCTACACACAAAAAAAGTCTATCAACTTCACAATGTCAAAAAACAAACATTTGTGAGGCATCATGGTGAAATCAGGAGCTCGTAAAAATAATGAAATCAAAGAAATCGGTATCTTTTTGGCCGATGGGCAATTTTTTTCTAATTGTCTAATTTTCTTTTTTGGCTCAACAGCTTTTATATCCATTTAAAAACACACTGCTGTGTGGATTTTTACTGAAACACATTGATGAAAGGCACAAAAAAAAAGTAAATCTTTAGTTTCCAAGGACTCTTGGGTTATGGAAATTATCAAACTTTGATGACCATTTTCTTGATAATTTTATCTCTGAAACCAGGCAACCCTGACCCCCTTCAATCGCAAATATCTCGACTTCTATTCAACATAGATCAGTATTTTTTTCACCAAAAGGAAGGCAAATGAACAGCCTTTAAGATGATACCAATAATCCCATATGCCTAAAAATTGATGAGCACCTGATTAAACCATGCCGTGACACATTTATCTCACAGGAGAAAATGCACCCTTGATGTGTACAAGAGAACAAAAAATACTTCTAGAGCATTCACAATAATAATAATAAACAGCATTTACATAATGCTTAGCCCTGTTCCACAGCAAGCTTTATGCCCTTTATTATCTAAATCTTTACCCCAGCAGACTTTAGAACACCTAGAAACATTCTCAGCTTCTTGAAAAGCATAAAATGCATGGCACATAGAATCTTCTTTTCTCTCTCTCTCTCTGTTTTTTCTCTCACTCTCTTTCTGTCTGTTTGTCTGTCTTTCTCTCTCTCACTCTCTCTTTCACTCTCCCCCTCTCTCTCTTTCTCACTCCCCCCCCCAACTCTCTCTCTCTAATCAAAAGTTTGAAGTCGTTGGCAATGTATAGGGGAAACACATATGTCTCTACTCTTTTTTTCTCTCTCTCCCTCCCCCTGTCTCTCTTTCTCTCTGTCTGTCTCTGTCTCTCTCTCTGTGTCTGTCTCCCCACACTTACCGGGCGCTGATGTGCCAGTCCATGATGCTGCGGAAAATGGTGGTCATTGTCTCGTCATCAAACTCGTTGATGGTCACGGTGTTCATGTGACGCAGGAAGCGAGGGGTGATCGGGTTTCGGCCACCACCTGAAATTTGTATTGAGTCCCGTTATATATTCACGAATATAAGAAAACGACAGGCAAATTTCTTTGGACACACAATGTGGAAAGAAGCATTACAGAATATTGTAACAACAGGAAAGTTTGATGGAAAGAGAGGCAGAGGCAGACAGAGGGAAAAGATACTGGACAAGATGACAACATGGCTGGGAGCAGCAAGAACAACAGACACCATTGCTGCATCGAAAGACAGATAGAAGTGGAGGTCCATGATCACCCACGCCAGTCAGCAAGGCACCGGATGATGATGATGATATATTGCCTGACTTACACAATGACAAATGAGCGGACACACACATATGTACATGTGTATACAAGTGCAATAATAGTGAAATCATCTATTAAGTCTCAGCCCAAACTTTTGAGTAGCTGAGAAGGCTTTTTTTTTGTTGGTCAAAGTGTCACTTTCTACCTTTATTGCCAATTCAATAATTGATTTATCTTAATGAATTAACAGTCTGGAACGATAACAACAATAACAACAATGAATTAACAGTGCTGAACAACTATCTTAAGATGTATTTCATTTTGAACATTTCTTTTGAAACAAAACATTAACCATGTATATGAACACACATTTACACACAAATGCACACACACACACAAACATACCCGGTGGTCCCATGGCACCCACAAACTGGATGTCCACCAGTTTAATGCCTGTGGTGTCCTTGAGATCGTACCAGTTCCAGTGGTCAAGCCACTGGCGAAGCAACTCGATGGGAGGCTGGGCACCGTACGTCTCTTGCATGGGCATGTTCAAGTCATCCACAAACACAACCTAACAGACACACAGAATCCGGTCAAGATAGGAGCTCAGACTTTTTAAAAGCTTAGTTTTGGTAAGAGTTTTACTGCACTTGCAACACAATAAGGTTCTGTAAGTGCAGAAGATTAAAGGTGTTACAAGAGAGTAACAAACACAAAAAAGAAAAAGAAAGAATAAGGATGATAGATATGTGCCTGAAAGAAGGACCAAACCACATCAGAGCACCTGCAAGCTACCCACGCTCAGACTTTAGAGCAAGTCACTTGCAGCGGCCTATGAAAGTCACCAACAAAGACAACCCAACAGTCACATAGAATCCGGTCAAGATATGAGCTTGGACTTCATTTATGGGAGAATACTAATTCAAAAGCTATCAACACACGATGACGTCTGAAATTTTTGGGAACATTGAAAAATCAAACAGACAAAAAGTTGAGTTGAAATTGTCCAAAACAACCAATCATTATTGAGGAAAAAAATAGTTGACATCTTGGATAGTGTCAGGATGATATTTTAAAAATGTTAAAAGGTAAGTGGAAAGTGGTCATTTGTACAGGTGATTGTCTTGGACAGGTGGTTTTATGAGCAGGTTCGACTGTAAAATCAGTAAACAGTTTTTAAGAAAAAACTTATTTAACTGAAAAGCTATATCCCATAAGAAATAAGTTAATAAAAGGCAGAAATGTAAAAGAAAAAAAAAGTAAACATTTGAGAACATGGGAAATCAGAGATCTAATTAGTAGCTGACTAACTGCTGGTGAGATCAATTAAATTAAATGGTGATTTTAAAAAGTGCATAAAAACTGCATTCCCTAAAGCTTACAATTGAGGGAGAGAGAGAGAGGGATAGAGAGACAAAAGGAGAGAGAGACAGAGACAGAGAGAGAGAAGGGAAGAGAGAGATAAAGGGAGGAAGGGAGGGGGGGAAAGAGAGAGAGAGAAAGAGAGAGAGAGAGAGAGAGAGAGAGAGAGAGAGAGAGAGAGAGAGAAAGAGAGAGAGAGAGAAAGAGAGCGGGTGATAGAGACAGATAGAGAGAGACAGAGAAATAGAGAGACAATGTGGAGAGAGAGAGAGAGAGAGAGAGATTGAGAGAGAGAGAGAGAGATTGAGAGAAAGAGAGATTGAGAGAGAGAGAGAGAGAGAGAGAGAGAGAGAGAGAAAAGAGAGATTGAGAGAGAGAGAGAGAGAGAGAGAGAGAGAGAGAGACAGAGACAGAGAGACAGAGAGAGAGAGAGAGAGAGAGAAAGTGAATAAATTTTCCTCACAGCTTTTTTGCCGAGTGGCGGTCCAAAGACTCCTTTCCGGCGCCTATCCAGTTTGGACATGATGATGTTCTGTGTCTGGTTGGCTGACGTCTGCGCAGAGAAGTTGACAATGTTTGGTTTGTACACCTCCTTGTTCAGTTTGCTCAGCAGGAAATCCTGTAAGGGAAACAGCGTGGTTTGACCTCCATGAACCATAAAGGTTGAAATGTGGAAAAGACTGGGTGATTTTTACTAACAATAAAGGTTGAAATGTGGATAAGACTGGGTGATTATTTACCCACAATAAAGGTTGAAAAATGGAAAAGACTTGGTGATTTTTACCAACAATAAATGTGTGATTTTTACCCACAATAAAGGTTGAAATGTGGAAAAGACTTGGTGATTTTTACCAACAATAAATGTTCAAATATGGAAAAGACTGGGTGATTTAGACGAAATGTAAGCATTGAACAGAATTGACTTCTTAAAATAGAAGCACTTTTTCTGAATTTGACTTCTTGTGTATATTTCTGCTCTCTCAGCACGAAAGAATGTAAGAGAAATAGCTTGGTTTGACTTCCAGTAACATTAGAGGTAGAAATGTGGAAAAGGCTGTGTGATTTTTACTAACAATAAAGGTTGAAATGTGGAAAAAAACTGGGTGATTTTGACCAATGCAAGCATTGAACAGAACTGAGTTTTTAACCCTTACAGCACCAGACTATTTTTGGCTATCGATGAGCCTTACTGTAATGTAGCAACTCTTGCCAGTTCCCGTGGGTCCCACAAAGAGGCAGGGCTTGCCGTGCTGAATCAGCATTTCCAGCAGCGCTGTGTAGCGGACTGTGTCCACCGTCGGCACAATGATCTCGTTGAAGAGGGCCTCCTTGGGGATGGGAGGCGTGTCTTTGATGTCATCAGCCCACGGTGCCCACTTGCCAGAGCCCTGTGGAGGAAAGACGAGAGAAACTCAATGGGAAGAGATAGGAAGAGAGGGGAAGAGAGGGGAAGAGAAGGAAAGAGAGGGGAAAAGGGGAAGAAAGGGGAAGAGAGGGGAAGAGGAAAAGTGCATCCAGAATGAGGATCTATAGCCATGAGATAGAGGGTTAAAGTGGCACAAAATGTCGATAAATATGGCCAAATTTCAACAAAACTCTTTTGTTAATACTATTTGCAATTTTTACAAAGAGAGTTTTGAAAATATCAACAGAGTTGAATTCTCATTGTAAACCAACCACTCATTAGTAAATAGCTTGTCATGTCCAAAGAAGTTCCGTATGCTATATGCTATTCCCAAAACTGTTACCATAGATTTTACTTTTGAAGATGTATTTTATATGGGTCTGGTAGGAAATGAGGTGATCAACGATAATGATGCCACTCTATTATTGCTATAACAAAACTAGAGCGCTTCAATCAAGAGACTTTAAAAGTTGAGACCATCATCAAAAATTCTAAAACAATTACATGAGCCTATATTCATCTCACAGGGAAAAATTTGTCTTGCATACCTCTTTGACAAATCTGTAGTCATAGATCTTTCCCTTGGGTGGGAAAGGGTTCACGTAAGGCTTCATCGGGGGTTCAATCAGGTCCACAAGTCCCAAGTCTTTGCGAGTCTCTTCAGTCATGCCACCCTAAGAAAGAAATGGACCCATAAGGTAAGATCTTCAAAGTGAATACAGTCATTTGAATTAAGTTCATTTTCTTAATAAGCAAATTGAGTAGAATGTTCACTCAGCAGCTAGGAAAACAGATTTGAAAGTCTTTTGCAAATCATTTTTGAAAATTGCATCACGAAAATCTGTGTCACAACGCGGTGGAACCAGGCACTCGTCTATTTTCAGGCATGCAGAGTTATTGGTACTATCTGAAAGCTAATTCATTTTCCTTGCTTTCAATGAAAAAATACCCGTCTATCTTGAATAGAAGTTCAGATATTTGTGGTTGAAAGAGTTAGAGTCGCCTGGTTTTAGTGGTAAAATTAGCGAGAAAATGGCCACTTAAGTTTGGTAAATCCATGCCTTTAATCAATCTCTTTCAGTAAAATGCACACGGAAATGTGTTTTTATATGAACATAAAAGAGGTTAAGCCAAAAAATAAAAATTTGATTAAAATTTCCAAACTGCCGGACAAATGCCTGTTTCTCAGACTACATTATTTTGACGAGCACCTGATTTTACCTCACATATGTATTCTAAAATGTAATGAGTTCATATCTTGTTTTAGCTTCTCTTTTCTTCTCCTGACCTAAAGATCAAATTCAAGAATATAGCAAGTTCGATTTCATCTTGGAAACATTTTACAGTTGGCCTTTGTGCCATTTAAGTAAATAAGAATAGGAAAAAAGGCCCTTAGTATGTAAGTACACAATCAACACATTCAACCTGATGCAAACTTCAACAGTAAAATTGTAACTCCATATTAACTGATCTTATTATCTATTACTCTGAAAAATTACGAGAAGAGGGAAGTGACTTCAAGCATAGATCTCAACATGCGCAAGTCATGCCAACCAGGAGGAGAAAACTTTGGTATTCAAACTGGACAACAAGAACTTTTCAGTAATAACGCAGTTCCCTGCCTCAATAACAGTCTCTGACTGCTGGAAATTCTCCAGTGTTGGGAATTTTTTAAAATGTACTTAGTATAGACTGCCACATTTTTCATGAGACTGAAAAACCCGTCTCATTCTTTTAACAATAGTTGTACCTAAATTACATTATTTTCTTGCCTTTTTTGATATTCAAAAAATTTAATTCAAACAAAACATTTCTTGACAACATGCAATCAATATCACAGATTAAGAAATTGCAACTGAAAATAATGTTAGAATTTTGGGTGTATTATATAGAAACAGCTGGCCATCAACTGGCTTGTCAAACAGTCAGAATGAGCAACCTACAGAGCTGAGTTCGCGAACCAGCTTGTCAAAACGAAGGCGTCCTTTGTCGTCACTGCTTGCACCCAGGGACCATGTGAGGGCAAACAGGAAGATACTCTGAAAAGAGGGAGAAATGAGAACATGACAGGTGAGAATTTAAAATGTGATTAACGTGACAGAGGCTCAAATTTCAAAAAAGAATTAAGAGAGACCTTATGAGCCAAACCACCATGAAGTAACTTTCAGGATAGTGTAAGAATAAAACTATCTGAGGAACATCCTGGCCTATCTGCTTCATTCAGTCATTTAGTTCTTTGCCTTGTTCAATCTTTCTGAAAGAGCAGTATTTTGTGTAATCTCTAAAACAAAGATTCCTGGAATCTTCTTTTCATTTTCCATTAAAAAGAAAGAAGCGATATTACAAGAAAAAAAATTATACCCATGTACGCTAATCAATTTTCAGCCCTACAGCATACAAGTAGACATACACAGAAACAAAACAGAAAAAAACATCTACAACCAGAAAAACAAAAACAAATTAGAAATAAAAGAAAGACACCAACTTCCAGCCATGTGATGATCTCTCGTTCCTCCAGCTGGGATATTTTGGCTTCGTCATGGAACTCGTCCAATTGGCAGTCGATGAGAGACATCAGAGCCACCACCAGATTGGAGTCTGTCGTTGGTGACAGTTCCTGATGGCAGACATGACAGCAATTAGGGGAAATCTTTCAAATAAATCTAAGTCTAATAAAGATGATAGGGATGAGGCAATCACCAACGGCCTGGATGTGCCGAGGTTGGGGAAAGTGGCCAGGGACACGCAAGCCTGGCGCAGAATGCTCTCCGCCTCATGTGCCTGATGGCATAGGGAGAGAGTAAGTAAGTAGGCAATAAGGAGTAAGAGAGAGTAAGTAAGTAGACAATAAGGAATAAGAGAGAGTAAGTAAGTAGGCAATAAGGAATAAGAGAGAGTAAGTAAGTAGGCAATAAGGAGTAAGAGAGAGTAAGTAAGTAGGCAATAAGGAGTAAGAGAGAGTAAGTAAGTAGGCAATAAGGAATAAGAGAGAGTAAGTAAGTAGGCAATAAGGAGTAAGAGAGAGTAAGTAAGTAGGCAATAAGGAGTAAGAGAGAGTAAGTAAGTAGGCAATAAGGAATAAGAGAGAGTAAGTAAGTAGGCAATAAGGTATAAGAGAGTGTAAGTTAGTAGGTAATAAAGTACTCAAACTACAAGCAACTCCATCCCTTCCCTACTCAACACTGAAATCGTCCTCTGAGCTAGTCTCATTCTTAAAAACATTCCCACCACCTCATTATAATTTAAAAAATGGGGAAAATAAACAAATGCTCTGATAGTAATGCATATAAGATAAAAAAAAAAGATGAAAAGGTCAAGTACGGTGGACAAACAGGAGTGATAGACACAGTCGAAATGATCCAACACGGCCACCCATTGTCGAGGAGAAAAGTGGTTGCTTTGGACAGGTGGGTGTCTTGGACAGTGTCATTATGATAGAGAAAAAAAAACCACTAGGGGGGAAGTGGAAAGTGGTAATTTGTACAAGTGACAGTTTTACACAGGTGGCCGTGTGAGCAGGTTCGACTGTATTTCCCACACAATACAGGCACAAACAAAATGAGAAGTGTGCTGTCAGAAGGAGTTACTTCTTGCAATTTGTGTATGGAGATATGGGCATAAAATTGGCTCGGAGGTCAAATTTGTAGATTTTCAACTCAACTGATGCCATTTTCTTAAAGTCTTTTGGTACTTCAAACTAATAAATTTAAAAAAACCAACTCAACCTATAACTTCGTCGTACTTATATCCATAAGGCAAAATCCAAGAAGTAATTAATTTCATCAGCACTGCTCACAAAAGTAAAAATGTTCACCAACCTTGACCCCTGCCTTGTGGACCAGCTGTAGGCCCGCATCGACGAAGCGCTCAAACATGTCGTTGATGACGCTGCGGTGGATTTCTGTCATGGTGGAGGGAAGCTGCACCATCCAGGACTTGACCAGAGGCCTCCAGCCCAGGGTGGTGGGCTCCATGTAGATCATACCACAGCGGGACACCTGGCAGAGCAGACAGGGTGCGTAGCCGACAGCTTTTCCAAAACAAACAAAAAACAAGTCTACCCACGCGATGGGTCAAGATGGAGGGCACATGGCTAAATAACTCCCCCCTCATCAAAAACCTTCCAGCACACTTTTCTGCATTAAAAATATGCAAGCTTTTCAAAGGGGACCTGCAGCAAACGATATCTCAAAATGAATTCTTGACTAAGTTCTCATTAGTATTTGCAAATCTGGCCTTGACATTTCAGAATTTTTTTTCAGCATCCGCAAGACCATGAGAAGCAATACTTGAAAACAGTGAATGCATATTCACATATTCTCGGATGTGAAAACAGATTTTCATACTCAGACCTTCAAAAACCTATAAAATAAGTCTTTTACGTACTGGCTGGAGGCTATGAAGCTATGAAAGTTCAGTCCTCACTACAGAAATTTTCCTGTAATTTTACTTTAACTCACAGAGAATGCCTATTCTGGTCCTTTGTCAACGCTTGAAGAAGTGCTGTTTTGGAGTATAACTTCATTATTATCAGTTTTTATTTTCCTTTTCATATTGACATTCTTTTATGAAAACAATATCACAACAGAGTATTTCCATCAAACCTGACCAGGGTTCTCTCATCAGATCTTATCTAACCAAGTTTATCTAATCAGATCTTATCTGACCTGGTTCATCTCATCAGATCTTATCTAACCAAGTTTATCTCATCAGATCTTATCTGACCTGGTTCATCTCATCAGATCTTATCTAACCAAGTTTATCTCATCAGATCTTATCTGACCTGGTTCATTTCATCAGATCTTATCTGACCTGGTTTATCTCATCAGATCTTTTCTGACCAGGTCGATCTCATCAGATCTTATCGGACCAGGTTTGTCTCATCAGACCTGGTTTATCTCATCAGATCTTATCTGACCAGCTTTGTCTTATCAGATCTTTTCTGACCTGGTTTAACTCATCAGATCTTATCTAACCAAGTTTATCTCATCAGACCTTATCTAACCAAGTTTATCTGATCAGACCTTATCTGACCAGCTTTCTCTCATCAGATCTTATCCTACATTCCACTCACAGTGGCGGGCGAGGCGACCTCGAGATCCATGGGCTCAAACATGAGGTTGGTGGTGGGTGCCAGCTGGATGATCTCGCCGGACATGAGGCAGAGCTTCTTGTTGTCGTCCAGCACAGTGTTCATGTTCTCGATCCAGATGGCGTCAACCGGGCCGTCGAAAATAAGCCACTTCCTGTCCTCCGACTGCACATAAAAAAACCAAACCGCGACATAACTTAGTATTGTCTCAGACTGATCAACACACTTATAGCCAGATGAGTCTCCCAGAACATTTGTAAACAGAAGTGTTGCTATTGATCCTGGTGATGTGTAGGCTTAAAAACTGAGAAGTATCCCACCTGACAGAAGCAGGCAAGAACAACAATTTACATGACGAGTTTCTGTGCCTTCAAAAGATAATTAAAACAAAATCAAAGAGTAAGATGGTTGATATACATGTGTGCCCTTTGTGGCTCAGTTGTGCAAATAGGTAGCAAAAAACCCAAAATTTAGATGGAATCAGTTAAAGAGTAAACGAAAAGATCAAATACAGATTTTCTTCCCAAGACCATATTGATTAGCCAAGTGCAAGTCTTAGCAACCACAGTTTTAATTCTTCCGACACTGAACAAAAACGTCAGTAAGCAATGGAGTGAATCTGAGAGTCTTTCCTTGATAGCTCAACTATGGCGGCTTTGTACATGTAGGCTTAGGATATGGGGGCTCAAAGGACCAATTTGATTGTTCAATGTCACAGAAAAATGTTCTCCCAATTAGAAATAACACTCTGTCTTTGCACTCTCATAACTCACTTTGACACTAAAAAACCCTCTTTAAATCTTTCCTAATTTAGATACTTCCCATAAGTAAGTAGGTAATTCATATTTCAGTGAAAGGTCCTGTCTGTCTGTCTGTCTGTCTCTGTCTGTCTGTCTGTCTGTCTGTCTGTCTGTCTGTCTGTCTCTGTCTGTCTGTCTGTCTGTCTGTCTGTCTGTCTGTCTCTCTCTCTCTCTCTCTTCACTCACAGTGGATGTTGCAAAAGCTCTGTAAGACACGGCCAGGATGCCATCTGACCACTCGTGAGAGACCGGGTCAAACTGTCCGTACAGCTGTCCCATGGTGATGGCCTTGGGGTTGATAACTGTGATCTGGACTTTGTTCTCATTCATCAGTTCCTACAGGAATGAAAGTCACAAATTATTCATAGAGAGTTGGGGAATGCCATATGGAAATAAATCTTTACAGGTTTACAAGATGTTGAGTTCAAGGTTACAAAAAAAGAGACCAAATTTGTATGTCTTCCCTTTACAAAGCAATGAATTCAGTGACAGAATAAAACACATTGATTAGAGTCATAGCTTTGAAAAATTTTAAGGCATTTATTTGAGTGATATGAATTGAGACAGAGTCCTAGTGCTCCAACTACAATACAAACTAAATCAGGCCACTGCTTTGTCGTTGTTATTGACTCAGAATGCCCGTCTTTTCGGCCACTGATTGACTTTAACAAAGTGATAGTTCAAAGTTTGTGTGCTTTCCTCTGCTGCATTATCTTTGCCAGGTGAGGGAGGGAGGGAGGCTATATAGTCCCCAGAAGGGGAAGTAGGTATGACCACCAGAATCATTCTTGTCATGCAGCATGAACACTAGGAGACCTTAAAAATCCTTTCTCATGGGGTGATGAGACCCTTTTTATGGACCTGAGAATCTTAAAATATCCCTCATTCCAGCTAACCTCCTTAACTCCTTATCCTGAGGCAGGCCACTCCCAACCGCTTACAGTCGGAATCGCTGTGCTGGTGATCCGTTGGCAGTTGCTCGGTCATATTTCTTGATGATGACGACGACGTTACGTTGAATTTTTGGAAAATAGGTCTTTCTCATCTGGAGTTCTTTCATTAGATGAAGAACTATCAAATTCGTTAATTTATTTAGACTTTTAGACCAATTTAGTGACGTTTATGTTTCTCACATGTTTAAAAAATAGGGCTGTGGTATAGTGGAAAAATTCCCTCCTGAGATAAAAAGTAGTGGGAAAATTCCCTCTCGAGATAAAGAGTACATGTCCAGACAGGCATTCTAAACTGTATTTCATTGGTGTGACTTCCCTTCCCTTCATCTCTCTCACACAAACACACATAACTGTACTACAGATGTGACCCACACTGTCTATAAGTTCACTGACCTTCTCCTTGAGTGACCCTAAGGCAAGGGAAAGAGTGCGGTACGCACTGGTCTTTCCTCCTAGAGGCTCTCCAACAATCATGAAGCCGTGACGAACAATCATCATCTCATAGATCTGTCAGTTTGGGAATAAAATAGTTTTTAGTTTTAGTAAGGTTTAACAGCACTCGCAACTGCATAATGTCATATGAAAGCCAAGAGGTGAATGTCAACAGAGAAGTCCAAATGGAGAATCAGGCTTACTCTGCTCACCTCTCCAGCCTTAACAGCACAAAGTCTGCTTCGACTATCAAAACACCGCGGAAATAGCAGTTCATAACAATAGAGTGACAAACATACAAAAGAAGTAGAGGAAAAATGACGATAGTAAGGATGAGGAAAGAAAAAGCACCGGTCCCCTATGTTATTCCAGCACAGTATGAGCATGACATGGATAAATCAGCCCATTTACATTTCTACTAAGCATAAGAACATGTTAATATCCCCTCTTTGGGAATGGCATAAAGACAACTACAGTCAGTAGCACTGCCCTGGAGAGGGGGGGGGGGGGAGAAAATAGTATGAGATGAGTTCAGTGCAAAATAGCATCAGTGCACTTCAAGGAGAGAACAAATATGGCATCCTAGTTCAACAGCAAAGTGTAGGACTTACAATAAAAAGAAGGTTGGAAGGCCAAAAGAGACCAAAATAAAAGCCTTGACAGTTTTTCATGAACAGGGTAACACTACTTTAAATGAGTGATATAATTTTCAGTTTAAAAAATGAAGGCAATACTTAATTATGGTAATGGTTGCAAGTTGAGAAGTATCATAGTCTGACTTATAACAAACGTATCTTGAGAAACGAGAAATGTCATTGGAACAAAGAATAAGGATATGTGAGGCAATGTGGTGAAATCAGGCACTGATCAAAACAATGACATTTGAGAAATCAGCCTTTTTCGGCCAGTTTGGACATACATTTTTTTTTTTGCTCAACACCTTGTATGTCCATTTAAAAACAATTTTAAGTCTGGATTTTATGGTAAAAATTAAAGGCACAAAAAAATCTAAATTCGCAATTTCCAAGGAATTTTAAGTTATTGAAGTCACCAAACTTTGGCGGTTATTTTCTCACTAATTCTACTTCTGAAACCAGGTGCCATCACCTCCTTCAATCGTAAACATCTCGACCTCTATTCAAGATAAATTGATATTTTTTTCATTAAAAGCAAGGCAAATTTATAACCTTTAAGATAAAACCAATAACTCCATATGCCCAAAAATTGATGAGCACCTGATTCCACTGAATCATGACACATATATTAAAACTGATAAATGATGTAGATCATTGTTACAGCATCTACACTCATGTGAACACAGCTCTAGGAGCTTAATGTAAATGTAAATGATGCTTAATCAACAGTCTAACCATTACATCAGCACCTGCTGTTGTACAGTAAGCTGTAAATTTGAATTACATAAAGAAGCTTAACTTCCATACGGAGAGGGGGTCTGAATTTTTCTTGATTTCTTCCTGTTACTGTTTTTTTTTTGTCTGTCCAACGTCTTGTCAGGGTCAAAATGCTAAACTTGTGATTTGCAGAGCTTTGAATTTCTACAATCTCCCCTCTCCTCTCCTGCCCCCAAACCAACAATCCTACCCAAACCAGGAAACCATATGAAAGAACTAGATCATAACATACCTCCCACCAAGCTCACACTTCTCCATCTCACCTGCTGAATCTTTTCGAGGAAGAAATCGGTGCACTGCAAATTTTCCTTCTCGCACATTTCTTTGATGGCATTGTTCAGATCCACGTAGTCGGGTTCTGGCAGAGTGACCCCAGGGAAAAGGTCAGAGGTTATACCGTGGAAGAGGGGCAAGTCATGGTTCAGGAACTTGGGCAAGTTCACGTCAATGATGGATCGCAACATCAGAATGTTTTCATCCTCCTCAGGGTATTTTAGCTGTTGGAAACAAGGAGGGAAAACTAGATGAGTGAAGTAACAAGGGATATAGGGAGAATTAGAAAATTACAAGGATGTGATTCAAAGAGAATTTAAAAAATCCAGATGGTGGAATGAAGACAAGGGGTCAGAAGGAGGTTATGAAAATATAATGACAAGTTTGAAGTCGTTCACAACATATAGGGGAAACACAAAAGTCTCCATGAAATTTCTCCCCCATCCCTCCGTCTCTCTATCTCTCTCTCCTTTCTTTCCCTCTCTCTCCCTCTTTTTTTCTCTATATCTCTCTCTCTCTTCCTTTTTTTTTCTCTCTCATGAAAACCATTAGGAATAGAAAAATGCAGTTTCAGGGCCCTTGAATTGACATTGACATAAAGGCCTTGATCATCTTGCTCTCACTGAAAAAATAGAGGGCAAGGGTAGACCTACAGCAAATTACTTAGTAAACCTGAACCAATGGATAATGAGGAAAGACTAGGATAATATAGGTTATTTTTTTCTGAGAGCATCAAAAGATTATAATATAAAAAGTTGACGAAAGAAGTGAAACTACCCAAATCCATTACAACATAATGTAGATAATTTTTGCAGCACCTACTCCCCACTGCATACAGGTCTAGGCACTTAACATAAATTCAAATACTAAAGCAAAAATGAATAATGCTGTGAAAAATTAATCTTTGCTCAATTGCACACATAGAAGAAATCACCCCCCCCCCCCCACCACACACACTCACACACACACACACACACACACACACACCTTCTCTCTCATCTGTTGTCACACACGTATGCACACACACCATTATGAACAAGCACATACAAATACATAGTGCATACTTTCAAGTTAGCAGCGGCTGTGAGCACAGACTTGACCGCCCTCATGCCGTAGTCGTAATGGTGCTGCGAGGAGAGCTGCTCTGAGCACAGCCGGTACACAGCCACAATCTTCACAGAGAGCGGCCGGGCATTGACGAAACCACACGAGTACAGGGAGATCTCAGCGATGAGCGCATAGTCAGGAACCATCATAGCCACGGTACGGAACAGGGGGGATAAGAGTCACAAAATTGGTGATTATAGTCATTTGGTTTTCAAATTCTACTGCACTTGTGAGATTACTAGGTCATATTAGGAAATTTGGAGATAAGAAATATCTTGATGCTAAATTTAAGTTGAACACGAACATAGCACAAGAAGTTTCAGTGACAGATCTACTGCCAGTTTATGATATAATTTGTTTGCGTGCGTATAAGAGCAAACATGCGCTTTTTATGAGTACTTCTGCCGACAATCTCAATCATCTGCCCTATTTTGTGAGAATATTATGCTGACCTCGAATATTGTTTCAAATTTTGAGGTAACAGGCACCACATAACTTGAGGTCATGATTCTCATATTTCAGCCAGTCTGTCAGTAATTACCGAACTTTGAAATGTGACAGTGCAAAGAGCCATCAAATTGTCCTAGCAAAAAACCCCCCCAAAAACAAAACAAAAAAACAACAATTAACAAACATAAAAGCAAGTCCAGTAAGTTTTCATTCGTATTACTTGGCATGTTGAGAACTGCTAAATGATCAAAATCCACATCATTATTATGTCATAACCTCTAATAGCCACACTTTGGGAAATCATCTTTTCATCTGAGACTTCTTAATTTCTCCATAGATGAAGATACTGTTGTCCCATCAAGTCAATGAGGTCAACAAGAATTCTTAAATGCTACCATAAAGGAACCCCGAGTATTAAATACCAAGGGAACAAAAATTAAAACCTAAAACTCAAAACAGGTCAAGTTTCTTTACTTTGAGGTTGTCTGGCAGTTCAGAACGTCCAGCATAGCCAGGGTTCATGGTGATGAAGACAGAGCAGGTCGGGTCCAGCTTCAGCTCGGTTCCCTCAAACATCAGTGTGTCCGAATGAGACAGAATGCCTGGAGAAGGTTTGGGAAGATGTATATCAAATTTGTATATAAATATATATTTATATACACATGTATAAACATACTCAAACTATACATTACACATTTCCTTATGAAACGTTCCCAACAGAAAGCCAGTCTCATAAAATGCTTGGGGTACGAAAACACATTTTACAGGATAGTCTAATTATAAGGCTAACGGACTCGTAATCATGAGATTGTGGGTTCGGGGGTTCATGCCTCAGGTCCGATGTTGTGTTCTTGAGGAAGGCACTTTACATACATTTCCTCACTTCACCTAGGTTGGAATGGGTACCCAGCTATAGACAACGAAAGATCTCGTCAGTATGTTAGTGGTTTAGCACCTATAAAATGGCAGCTTGCACTGTTTGCTTCCCAGTAAGTTGAGATTGTTTCAGAATGCTATTAGGTTTGCTAGAGTAATAATACACATTGTGAAGCCCATAGAGCTGCTGCTGAGCGGGCATTGGCGCTATACAAATGCTATCTATTATCTATTATTTGTTACATCAAAACATTCCAAAGCCTGGCCTCTGACCTCTCTGGATGGTGAGAATCTGTTGGGCCACCACGGACAAGACCTCCAGGTCAATGCGGTTGAACTCATCGAAGCAGGACCAGGCACCACATGAGGCCAGACCCTGGGAAAGGGAACGTCATTAGAGAAAGTCAGAACCCAAACATATGTGAATTTGGAGTAAAACAAAACAAAATCATGAATGTAAACTGAAACCAGAAGAAAATATGAACGTAGAGTGAAAGAGAAGAAAATCTGAATGTGAAGTAAAAGCAAAAGAAGTAAAACGAAAGAAAAAGGGAATCCAAAGTAAAAGAAAAAAAAAAGGGAATCTGAAGTAAAACAGAAGAAAACACATCTAGTTTCTTTTCTTTCTCACTTTGCTTTTTTTTTGGACTCATCTTTTTCTCTCTCCATGCTTTTGGAATATGACTTACATCTCATTTAGATCCATCCATATAAATAATACTTTCATCTTCTCTTCATTTTCCTTAAACACTCTCCCTCTCTGTCCTTCATTTTCTCTCCAATGATTATCTTCTCTTTTCCCATAAGGAATCTAGTACTCGTGCTTTTTTCTCACTCGGACAAATCTGTTTGAATAACTCTCTCTCTCTCTCTCTCTCTGTCTCTCTCTCTGTCTCTCTCTCTCTCAATACAATATTTTCTAAACATTTCTTTCTTCCTTTTTCTCTCTCTCTCTCTCTGTCTGTCTCTCTGTTTCCTTCTGTCTCTCTCTCTGTCCCTCAGTCTCAACATCTCAATCCCTCCACCTCCCTGTGTACCTGTTTCCTTAGCTACATGTAATGCACCAACAAATCAATGGCTGAGTGCAAGACCCAGACACATGTCAAGACACAAAACGGCGTTTCTCAGAGTCTTGCATCCAGCCATTAAAAAAAAAAGGCTTTACCTTGAAGAACTTGCCCAGCGCAATGTAGTCAAGGCCGTCAGAGCAGTTAAACACCACACACTGCTTAGCCACAGCCTTTGCCAAATCCTTGGTTGTCTCCGTCTTTCCAGTACCAGCAGGACCTTCAGGGGCACCTCCCAAGTGGAGATGAAGAGCTCCAAACAGAGTCCTGAGATTTACACGATTTCAGCAATGTAAAACAACGGAGCACAAAGAAACAAGAGTCATAACCTAATAATCATCATTACTGTGATGTCATGTACTATTTATGCTGTAAAAGTAAGTCTTGATATATCGAACATTTTTTAAGGGGGGGGGGGGCAGTGCAGAAAATGTGGAAAGAAAGAACCCAAATGCTATGCATCAACTTTTTATTTAGATATTTATTAACTCTGATACCTCTGTCAATGCCAGTCAGATGGCTCAGTCTGTCAACAGGGTGTTGAGTCCACACAGAGTATTATCTATTTAAGCACTCTATCATTCTCCTCTTCCTTCTCCTCATTATTCTTTTCCTCATTGAGATTTGACAGTAATCAGAGCTATAATTTTGCTTTTCCTTTGTGGCTACTGATTGACTCAGAAAATAGCTATCCAATACTCCTTTTTCTGGGCACAAATTTTGCCATACAGTTGAAAGGAATAACAAGCTTGGACAGTGTCATTCTAATATAGTACAAAAAAAGTAAGGGCAAAGTGGGAAGTTGTCATTTGGACAGGTGGTCATAAAAGCAGGTTTGAGTATTTTTGTAAGAGAGTGTTTGTGAGCAGAACATTAGTACCTCAGAATACAAAGGCAGGGGCAGAAAACACAAAACTTGGCTAGAGGCGTCAGAAGCCCTTTAAAAAAGTTACATTTGAACAACAGAAGCCATCCACCTAGCCCAAGATGTAAAATTGCTCCTTCCCTCGACATCTGACAATACAATATAAAGGATAAAGTAAAGAAAAGAAAGTCGATATTTACCTGTAACATCTGTCAGTCAGAGGTGTGATAACCAGACGTCCCGAGTTGCCCAGGTACTCGTAGCCGTAAGGCAACATGGCGTTGATCATACGTGTGATCATCTGGTTGTCCTGTAGGTGAAAGGGGACAGAAGTCAGCAGGTACAAAAGTTTAAACATTAGCACCATACAGCCAGAGTCAAATATATGTGTCCCGATGCAGAGGAATCAGACGATCCTCAATTTTTGGGCTTGAGGACTTTTTGGTATCAACTAAAAGATTGTTTGTTTGTCTATCTTTCAATGAAAAATATACCCATGTATCTCGAATAGAAATCAAGATATTTGTGATTGAAGGAGGTGGGGATTACCTAGTTCCCCAGAACCCCTCTATTCTAAAAATTTCACTAAAACAACAACAACAAAAAACCAACAGGCAGAGTAACATATAAAATACACAAATTACTTTCAATTCTTGATCATCATACCTTTCCACATCCCTCTCTCCCACCCTCCTATCTCACCCTCTCCATTCTCAAAAATACACACAGCCACAAAACCTCAATAGGCAGAGAAACATACAAATTAAACCCAAAGTACTCACACTGGCATAAAGCACTCCCCCCCCCCCCTCCTGTCTCCTTTACCAACCTCATTCCCCTCCCTCCCCCCTTCTTCTCTTCCTTCTTTCCTTCAATCCTCCCCTCCCTTGACCCCCTCCCCCTCTCTTCCCTCCCCATTCACCCTTCTTCCCCCCCCCCCCAGGACACACACACACATACATACACACACACACAAACACATGACACACACAAACACACACACAGAGAAACAACTGACCTCCCAGTAGTAACGCAGCTGACTGAGCCACTTGAAGTCCAGCTCACTGGACACGTTCTCCTCCACCAGCTGAGCCAGCACGTCCCGAGCATGCACGTCCAGCACGATCAACGCCTGCAGCGTGACCCGGTTCTGCTTGGAGAGGTCACCACGCACCAAGGCCACCACCTCGTCGATCTGGGAGTTGTTCAGCTGGGGAGCGGCCACGAGGGTGGTTGTGAGTGATTCTGCCCTCTCATTCATTCAGAAGTAAACTTCCTCAAATCATCATTATGCTAGCAAAATGGCTCAACTCATTTTTGCTACTTTTGAGATACAGGGGGAAAAAAACTATTAAGCTAGACTTTTTATCATTTAATAGTTGTAAAACTTGCCATGCATGTTTCTTTTGTGACTGCCTGCACAATTTTGTTTTGATTTTACCAAATGATAGATTTAGTACCACCAAACAAATAAAAGGCTAGTTGCACTTTGGCACAACTCTGAGTTGTGTCATTTCTCTAGCACAGGGACGACATTCTTCCTTTATTCAGTGTACCTTAGGGGTTACTTGGACAGTTCACTTTTTTAATCGACAATTGTTTCTGCATTTTTACCGAGTTCTTTTTCCAGAGAGCAAGATGGGATCTCCCATTCATAGTAAAACACATGGTAGCTCATAGAAAAAGATAAAATATGAAGATACATACAACAAAAAGGCATTGTTCACATCATACCAATTCAGTCTTTGCCATGGCCTTTTTTTGTCTGAAATGTTTAGAATCTCAGTGGAAAGACAACAGAATTGACCTAAGTCTCAGATAATCCGCACTGGAGACATACTTACTTCCAGGTACTTGGCCAAAGAATCTTGTCCAACACGGATGGACTCATGGATGAAAGACGTCCAGTACTTCTGCGACACACACAGCACTGTTTGACCTGGCCAGTTGCGCACCCACTCTGCCCTAGGGCTCGTATTGTAGGCTTCCAAAGCCTCACCCACCACCTGGAGGACAAAAGGTTGTTTTTAGGTTCAGTAAGAGTTTTACAGCACTTGCAACACAACTAGATTGTATAAGTTGGAAAGATTAGAGGTGTAACCAGAGAGTAACATACAAAGAAAAGAAGGAGGAGGGATAAAGGATGACAGATGTTTGATAGGAAAAAAGGAGCAAACCATACCAGAGCATCTGGAGAATAAAAGGTTGTGATGAAACAAATTTAAGCGATTATGGAGTGATCGTTACCTTGTGGGGTGACCATTATAAAGTGATTGTTACCTTGTGGAGTGACCATTATAAAGTAATCATTACCTTGTGGAGTGACCATTACCTTGTAGAGAAACCATTATAAAGTGATCATTATCTTGTGGAGTGATTATTACCTTGTAGAGTAACAATTATAAAGTGATCATTACCTTGTGGAGTAATCATTATAAAGTGATCATTACCTTGTGGAGTGATCATTACCTTGTGGAGTGTTCATTATAAAGTGATCATTACCTTGTGGAGTAATGATTATATAGTGATCATTACCTTGTGGAGTAATGATTATAAAGAGATCATTACCTTGTGGAGTAATGATTATAAAGAGATCATTACCTTGTGGTGTAATTTTTAAAGCGATCGTTACCTTGTGGAGTAATGATTATAAAGAGATCATTACCATGTGGAGTAATCATTATAAAGTGATCGTTACCTTGTGGATTAATCATTATAAAGTGACCATTACCTTGTGGAGTGACGCCACCATGTCTGCCTCTAGCTCCAGCAGCCACTTCTCCACCTGACCTCTCGCCTTGGAGGTAGAGATGACGTCCTTGAGCAGCACGACCTCACCCTCGCTAGACTTCATGTGGGTGATGTCAAGCACGTCGGTGAACTCCAGGGTGGCGATACCCTCGAAGCACTTCTTGAGATGAGGCTGTACTCTGCGAGAGAAAGAATTTGTTTTTTAGTTAGTTTTAGCAAGAGTTTTACGGCATGTGTAACACAATAAGGTCATGTAAGTGCTGAGGATTAGAGGTGTCACAAGAGAGCAACAAACAAAAAAAGGAGGAGGAGAGATAAGGATGGTAGATTTTGAAAGGAAAGAAGGAGCAAACCACACTAATGCACCTGTCAACCACCTACATATGTGTGTGTGCCTGGTGAAAGGTACCAAATAACGCATTTTGAAGAATCCCATTTTATTTCATTTTCATTTAAAGGATTCATTTCTGAACAATATGCTTTTTGAATTTTTAAGATATCTTCAGTAGTTTTTGAGATATGGGTGATTTTGTAAGGCAGGGTACAGAAACAAAGTTTTGAGCTAAACGGCTTTAAAGTTTCCCCATTTTTTCTGCTTCAAATAGATAGATCTACGCTTCGAGACGACCTGACAACACATTTGTTACTCACAAACCAACTTAATAAAGCAGCTAGGATAAAAGAACAGCTTCAAAATATTTACATTACGTCTTTAAAACAAATTCGCCACCACCTTGAGCAAGAATTTTCAAGAATATAGATCTAGGTTTGCGCAGGGAAGAAATATGCGATACAATTTGCTCTTCCAAAAGATGAAAGGGTGGGGATGCGCAAAGTTTCGCTTTGTTTACACGTTCTAGATACTCATGCGCACTACCTGCCACTAGAGAGCCGAAAGAATGCCCTAAATTTTGGTATGCAATGTGATTGGGTTGACTTTATGAATGGACAAGAGAAACCATCCACAATGTTTACTCGAAAAACCATTTTTCTTACACAGTTTTGGGGATAATGCAATATACCTCGTGTTATAAAACATCTTTAAAAATGTATTTTAAAGTAAAAGAAACTCAAGTCCTTGTAAATATCGATAAAGGAAAGGCTAAAGAATCCATTTTTAATGGGACTTAGTTTTTGTCCAAAATTCTATTTTTGACCTTTGAAGCCTGATATCTCGGTTTGAGCAAACGCGTCTTTTGGTACTTTTCACCAGGCACGCTCACATATATGTTTGAGTTAGGAAAAACAGAAGGAAAAGAAGAATAGGGAGAAAGAAAGGAAATGACAAGCCCATCCCAGTTATTAGTTTCTTTTTTTCTGAACTTCAGCTCTTTCCAATAATTTCTCTTCTTCACGAAACATCTTACAGTGAACGCTTTTCCGTTTAAGAGTTATCTATTTTTTTTAATGAGCTATGTTCCTCTAGAAGCCTGGTATGTGGCAAAACTTTGAATATTTCTTAAAATATGTTCAATATGCCTGAAGTATATTCAAGTCTCCATTACATATATTTCTATTTTACGACAACGAAGACATTGACAGCCATGGTGGTGATTAGAGTTGGGTCGGGCTCGCGAGCGTCCGCGAGTAGCAAACTACTCGCTGGCACTACCCGCAAACGAGCGGACGGGTAACAAGCCGTCTACTTGTGAAGAGAAGTTTGCTACTCGCCACTTGCTACACAACGGACAGAGACAACAGTTCGTTTAGCGAGCGGGCGGACGAGCGGACGGAGAGACTCCATGCATTCGAGCGGGGAGCGACTCCTTCCATTGCATACTATTTTGAAACCCCCCCCCCCCCCCCAAAAAAGTAAAAATTCACCCTCCTGCCCCACATTGTAGCTAGGCGTTCATGGCGGAAATTTCTCTACCCCCCCCCCCCCCCAGGCCTTTGCGATAATTGGAACGTACACAGTGTGAGCCACACACGAGGTGAAAGGTAACACACATAGCACTACGTTACCAGCCTCTCTCACTCTCTGTGGCACCGCTAGTGGTTTGAAACATTAGGCCTAATTAACAAACAATAGATGATGGGCCTAACCTCGCATTTTGTGTGTCGTCTGCTAGAGTTCGTCCGTTTGCGTGCCCGCTCAGTGATTAAAATTGTGGAGCGGACCCAAAAAACAAACTGACTTGAGGCCCGCAGTCTGCTCGCTGAGAGAGTAAAATTGAGGAGCAGACCCAAAAAACGAACTGTCTTGAAGTTCGCAGTCCGCTCGCATTGCCGTCAGTTACCCACTCGCTCAGACCGAGTCTGCGAGTAACGAACCCGTCTGTCCGCTCGCTCCAACTTTAGTGGTGATGATGATGATGATGATGATGATGATGATGATGATGATGATCATGATCAATCTTAAGACCCTCTTCGTTAGGCCCATTTCTCTGCTAGCATACAGCGCTCATTTAGTTTTTCTCCCAGTTGCTCCTGAGGAAGCCCACAAGGCGAAACGTTGAGCTGTGTTTATTAAACAAATTATAAACATTTTATATTGTTACGTCATTTTGTCTGAAATTCAAACAAGACTCTCCCTCCTACTCTGCTTTCCAAACAATGATGATGATGATGATGATGACGATGATGATGATGATGATGATGATGAAGAAGAAGACAATGACGATGATGACGATGACAGTGATAATGCTACAGAGATGATCATAATGAGAAATAAAAGAAAATGAAAAAGAGACGAACAACACTATGAGTCATTAATACAACTAGAAAAATAAATAAAACAAAGCCAGCCCACCTGGTTGGGTCCTTGGTCTCGGACAGAATCTCTAGCAGCTCGTCGTTGGAGAGGAAGAAGAAGCGAGGGAAGTACAGACGCTTCTTCTCCAGGTACTCGTTCAGACCCTAGAGAGGGCATGGTCGGATACAACACAAATGTTTAAGTTAGAAACAACAACAATAAATGTTTGGGTCAGAAACAACAACAACAAATGTTTAAGTTAGAAACAACAACAACAAATGTTTAAGTTAGAAACAACAACAACAAATGTTTAAGTTAGAAACAACAACAACAAATGTTTGGGTCAGAAACAACAACAACAAATGTTTGGGTCAGTAACAACAGTAACATGTTTAGGTCAGTAACAATAACAAACGCTTAGGTCAGAAACAACAAAACAATGTTTTGGTGTTGTTTTGTACTTTCAATTCTCTCTCCCTCTCTCTCTGTTCCTCTTTATCTGTTTTTTCACGAACAGCCTTACCTTCTGGATAAGCTCCAACAACTCGTTCGACTTCTTGAGCCTCTCCAGCATCTTGTCAATGTCCACCACGGCCAGGACGTGCTTGTCAATGTTGGCAGACTTCATGATGTCTCGCCAGTTCTTGTCCACTGCACCACCACACACACACACACACATAAAGAGGAAAAATCAGAAACACGCATTTCTTCCTCTTTTCAAAATTATTCTTTCAAATTAAACAAAAAAAGCCTTCTGCCGAGCTTTCCTCAAGTGCTATTCATTGTACATTTCTTCAATGAAGTCAAGAAGCACTTGCTCAATGAATGACATTCTTTTATTTTTATTTGATTGAATTTTTATTTTTTGTAAGAGTTTTACAACACTTGCAGCATAATAAGGTCATAAAAGTGCTGAAGATGAGGTGTTACAAGGGAGTAACAAAAACAAAAAAAGGAAGGAGGAGAGATAAGGAAGATAGGTGTTTGAAGGGAAAGAAGGAGCAAACCACACCAGAGCACCCTCCAACCACCGACATATGTTACGGAATATTGAATAGATTTCAATCTGATAAACTATTTTAAAGCTATTTTTATCTGTGTTAATATCAGAACACTGTATAGACAGCTTTGACACTTCCAGTCAGCCATATGAAACTGTCAGTTATTTCACTGTGACTTCATCATTACATTAAGAGGCTGTGCAGTGCTCTCAAATCAACCAGTATTTTGATACTTAAATCAACAGTAAATTGGATATGCACTATAGAAAAAGAAAAAAGCCCCCC